CTGCAATACAAATGTCTCATTTTTTTAAATAACAATGCATGCCAGATAATTTACGCAAAGTTAACGTCTTCAAAAATTAAAACAAATGCAAACAAAAATTTAATCAATTTACCCAGTACGTGGACCTTCTGTAGACAATACAGAGAGCACATAAACTAGCTGAAATGCAATGGAACTGAAAATCATTTTTTAGTTTTTGTTTTAATTTTTTTTTCTATTAAAGTTGGCGCTTTTGATTTGTTTTTAAATTCAGGAATTCGGGATCATTATGGCTGTTTTATTATGTGATTGAACAATAATGTCCGCTTCCTTATATCAGTTTCTGAAAACATTTTCCGAAATTTCCTATCAGAAATTGAAAGTCATCAGAGAGAGAGAGAGAGAGAGAGAGAGTGGGGACAGAGAGAGAGATACACATGGCATTTTAGATATCGGTGTTCGAGATCACGGATTTCAACTGTTTTCAATGTAATAGTGTCCATGTCCTTGGTAAACCATCATCTTTGACATGAATTTCACAAACAAATTATCATTTCGAGGATATTTCAATTGTGCAATTTAGATAAATGCTTAACTCTCTATCATCAGGATACTTTTACTTGTTGGTTTATGAGCAGCATGCACTTCCTTGTAGCCAGTTTCTGAAAACATCATTCTGCTAATATTTCGAGTAAACAAGATAACATTTTCAATTTAATACAATCTTATTGAAATTAGATGTTAGATCCTCTCACAGACTCGCTACACTAACATCTAACAGCATTCCATAGAGGGTAACGTCAGAGGGCAGATTCGGAAAAACTCTTGATTTATTTGCCTCAAGAATTATACAATGATTTGAAGACAACGAATTGATTGGTTGATAAAATTTGACCTCTTGCTTGACCCTACACAAGATGGTGTTAGATGTTAGTGTTGCGAGTGTGCAAATAGATCTAATATCTAATTTAAACTGTAATGCATATCAATTTATAATAAAATGTCTAAAAATGACTAAAAATTTAGGTTCTTACAAAGAGATTTCTTAAATGATTGAATCTTAAAGAAAAAAAAAGAATAAAATTCACTTACTTTAAATTTTAGTGAGAACATGAAAGATATGCATACGTGTTCACTTCCTTTTTTTATACTTGCTTATTCTTAATTTACTAATTTCTTAATTTGGTGTTTCAAAATATGTGTTACTTATCTTCCCATCACATTTAATTGTCTGAGGATATGGCTTCCATATTTTACATGTGTATTCCTGTTGACATGACCATTTACGGTACTATCAAGGAAGGATATTATTATCATAAATGTATATCTTTCAATTCTTACAAAGCTAGTACCATTTTGATACTTAATAACATATGTACAAGATACATGTATATGCAAGCAATTTCTATCTGCATCTAAACATTAAAAGTCTGTTTCAGGCATTTTCCTACCTACATATATCTACTTTGGAGTAATTTGTTGATTGTTGATTTTATTTGTTAGGATTCTTCATCAATATTAAGCGATGAAAGAGTCATAATCTTTACTCTTTACAGCAATATTTTACCAAATGACTTTCCATGAAGCAACAGATCAAATATCATAGAGAATGATTCGCGGCAACAGTAAAATTTTTAATATCCTAGAAAAAGTCTACGAAACGTTAGCATGCGTGAAAGAAACATGCTCCGTGAATAATGTTTTCTCCTTTTTTACCTCGAGGATAAAACCATCAAATATTTTGTATGAAATAGAATTCAGTTTATTTTACCTTTATGTTCTGTTATATTACAGACTCCACTCCTTGTCTCCACACAATTGCCTCTACTCCACTCAGCGTTTTACTCTAAGCCAGTGATTGATCGTACACAGAACTTATAATTAGATTATGTTTAGCCTTGAAATTGATTGACGTGTGCCTAAAAAAAAAGATATTCGGGAATCACCTTTCCTAAAAATAGTCAGTAAGCATAGCGCGCGTGTGTGTGTGATATGGTAGAACGTATGTATTGCTGAAGCCTCGTCTTATTGTTTTATTTTACGATAGAATGCATTTAATTATGATATATCAGTTATAGATTTAGTCATAGATCTCGCAAATTTGTATTCGGATGAAGTATGTAGGTCAAATGGATTCATATTATACAGGTATGATACGAACTTCAATTTACTTACATGCATAGCTGACGTTTTTTTAAAGGTCTGTCATTCAAACCATGAAAGAAAAGATAAATACATGTATATTTCTTCGTGATGTTTACATTGTATGGAGTTAATCGACAATCTTATGTTTTTAATAGAGGTAGGATATACATCATACATATGCATCTACATTTAATCCATAAAAAAATGAAAACATCATTCTTGTTAATCTGCTAAATTCCGCTAGAAAAGTATCTCCTCCAATTCCTTTATGTATCTATATGTACTGTGCTGTATGCATGCATATATATATAATACTTTTTCTTTAATTAACAATTAATATTAAAAAGAGTTTACTTTAATTAAAAAAAAACAACATACCATTCAAGAATTTGTATCATTGTTTATCAAATAAAGTAAATAATTAAATGAAAAACTTTATTGGAATAAATTTACATACAACCTTGTTGTTTTTGAAAAACAGTATAGATTCAAAATACTTGGATACTGCTTGGATATTTAAATATGTTGTATTCCATCTAAATATCTTTAATTTTTACGACTTTATGTTCGAACATCACGAATTAAGTTTATATTGCGAAAAGCGAACAATGCATTGAAATATATATTCTATAGTCCAGTGGGATGGGTTTTTTTGTTGATCGCTTAATATTCTCATTTTTGTTTATCGTTTCGAGCTTCATACCAGATACATGTACTATACCAAATGGGGATCATTTTGTAACTTTACATTTAAGTAATCCAAGGCAACAAGTAATTAATAAACTCACTGATTCTTTGTCATATTTCCCAAGCTTCTTTTGCTCTATTATTCAGCTCATTTTTTCATCAACACCTAAAACACTAACGATATTATTTTTGTTCTTTTGTGCAGGATGAAACAGCACATTTTAATCCAAAAACTCAGAGATTAAAGGATGATTGATATATTATGACAGTCTGTCGACAGATTTGCGTGTGTGAGATATTTGTACTAAAAGTATGAAAGTCAACGTTTAATCCATATAAAACCTACAATGAGAACTTTCCTTCCTTTACAATCAAAAATTATCAACACCTATATGAAAGGTAAATACAAATACACGTTTCCATTCTATATTTCTTTTATATTTTTTTTCTTATCTTTTAAAGAATTCACTTCTTTCGTTTTGAAATCAACTTTATGTTTGTTTTCCCTACGGTTGCAGTTGTTCTGAATACAAGCATACCAGTCTTTATATTTCTGCTGATACTTAGAGAGGTACATTGTTTTACATTATCTCTGAAATAAAAAAAAAAATGTTTCCATATCCATTAATTCATAACATCTGTATCTTCACTGACTTTTCTAGAGATCTCTTCATACTTTTCGTAATATTTACGACTAAAAATAAACGTTGTTATTTTTATCTGGGATATGTGACTTCATCCTTTACGTTTTCTTTGCGTTAGGTGAATGTGCACGTTACAATTCCTTCTTGTTTGACTGATGTTAATAGAGTCCCCACCTGTCCAAGAACAAAAGAGCAATGGCTTGTATCGGAAGAGAAGAAAGGCTGCTCTAGAATTTCCCTTAAGTGTAATAACATGGCTCCTCTCAAATACCACTGTCTTATAAATGCATGGAGAAATGCGACATTTGAGTTATGTGGCCCCGATACGGATATCATAGGTAACGAACATCAATGAATTTTAGGTTTTGTCTAACGTTGGTTGTTTGTTAGAATGAACAATAACTGTGCTACATGTATGTTTATTTTTCTTCCTTATGATAAAAAAAACATAATAAATGCATTTTTTTAAATTGAATTATAACAATCAATGAATGTGGTTGATTACTTAAGGTTTTTTTTCGGAGAACTTACTTCTTATCAAGTATTTTTTTTACATTAAATTCTTTACTTTAAACTGTAGAGCGTTATGGGTAGTTTTGGGCTTTGTAAAGAGTATCATGAGCCCTTGGAATGTCATTACAAAAACTGGGACCCGTGCCGCCACTGTTGTTGGCACGGAAATATGCCTTAAAGGCAGAGGTTTTTTACCGGGTGGTAAATTCCAGGTGAGGGAGGGGCTTATTTTGTACAGGTGTGAATGCCTTGGTGGCTAGCAATCTACCTGTGGTCATCTGTCTCCTAAACTCTATACACAGGAAGTGATTTAATACACAGTGAAATACCCTAGGTGTCAAACTTTACCTGTGTTTGGGATTTTGAGACAATTTTAGAATTAGAAGTAAAAAGTTTTTCCTCTCAATTTTTTATTGATTTAATTTTGACTGTTTGAAAACATCCCTACCTATTTAAAAAAAAAGTATTTCACACTATCAATTTAAATATTAAAGCAAAGATTGTTTTACATGTTATTGTTTGTGTTAATTTTGAGTTAGTAAGTTTGAGTTAATTGTGTGAAAACAACTCTTGTAACAACCAAATTAGACTTAATTCATTCATCCCCAGGAATCCCATTTACATGTACATGTATTTATTAAATGAAAAGAGAGCTCTGTGAACTACATTTCACAAAAAAATACCTGCACTGTAAGGCTTCATGTATCCTAACTATGAAAATAAAGGCTTTGTCACCTTAAAACATGTTTGTAAATTGTCATTTGAATAAAAAAAGAAAAATGTAAGTTACCCATGATAAGATACACTTTTTTAAATTTAATTACTTTAAACAGTGCTGCTCTGAACTTGATCAATAACATTTCTACTTTACCACTAAGCATATTAAAAATTATATCGAAATTTCATTTTAAAAAAGTTTGTGTATTAAATCCTATTTTTGTGGCTTTAAAAATGCATATTATATTAGTTTCTTTTCAAATACTAAAGGTATATTTCATTCATATATTATCAACCTAAAAAATTTCCTGATAGTAATACAGTAGTTCTGTATACCATGTTCAGTAAACATCAAAGGATGAAAAGTTAATTAGAAGGTCACCACGAGTACCAAACAAGGTGTACAGGGTATACACAGGGTCCAGCAAGCAACTGTCAATAAAGTTCCAGCATCCAATGATGGACCTACACAAAATTGATTGACAGGGCTACCCTGACCAGGTATTTTTGAAGGCTGTGCATAAAATCTCTGCCTTTAAATTACAGTGAGTGCTGATTTAAAATAGAATCTCAATTTATTTGTATACAGTGTAAAATTCGGTCAAAGCAAAGTCAATGGGACCTACGAAATTACTTTCTACAACAGCATTTTTTTATCCGCCCTTCCCCCCTTTTTATGTCCAAAAATACACGATATTCAATAATTCAAGGCATTGGGTGCGGATGTGGGACCATACCCTGACCTCCATCCCCCACTCTCAAATTTTATGGATCCGCCACCGTACCCATGTAAGGAATTGATTAAATTTACATATAGCTGAGGACCCACGGTAACATCACTATAACGAGTTCGTAATAAACGAGTTGTAGTGTGCGAGTAAATTAATCGTAAAATTACATAGAATAAATCAATCCTTACAAATAATACATATTTATTGTACATTCTTTAAAGGGTTTTCCTGTGCAGAGTACAACGAAGGAGGGGAAAGGATTCAACCAAATTTTGAGAATAAATGTGACAATTTCAGCAACTCCTGTCCATTCAAATATAAATCATCTTTGGGATATTTATGTATGTTCTCTTATTCATCTTACTGTAAATATCTGATAGGACTAAACTGAGTTTGAAATATACTTTGATGTGTAATAATTTTTTTTTTATTTTCATTTTTGCTTAAGCTGAGCAATGATGAATATAGTACACATAATGAAACAATCACTTATTAAACTGATCAATATTTATTCGGATAAATAGATCCAGAGTGTTTTGTGCTCCATCCTGAAAACGATGAAGGGAAGGAAAAAAATCCACGATATACTGAGATAAGATATTTTCAAGTACAACAAAGGGAGGATCAAAAGTAAGGAAAAAAAAACTTTATTTATATAAATACTAGAAATTTTTCTTATACAGTTGTTTAAGAGGATGCAAATTTAATTTATGTTACACAAAATAATTCTGAATTCATGTACACGTATATATAGATCCATCGCTAATTTAAAGTACACTGTACCTTTTTACCCAGGTCAGGCTTTGCCAGTGCTGCACCTTTGTTCATCCTCTTCCTATTTACCTTGATAATTACAGCCCCTGTCTGCATGTATTGTAAAACAAAACGAGATCTCAGAATTGTGAAAAAATCAGGTATTATACATTTTCAAATGCTTTTAACTTGATAGTAACTTTTAGCTAACCTGAGCCGTCAGCTCAAATGAGCTTCTTTTCTTATCATATTTTTCGAAGTTCATCTGTCTAGCTGTCAGTCTGTCCGTCCGTCTATCTGTCTGTAAACTTTTCACATTTTTGACTTCTTCTCAAGAACCACTGGACCAATTTTAACAAAAATTACTGCAAAGCATACGTGAGTAAAGGAGACTCAATGTAGCCACAGTTTTAGCTAGTCATATTAATATGGAAGCATCCTCAGATAGTGCAGTGCAGTTAAGCAAGGAAAGGGGATACAGTGTAAGTTCAAATGAAAAGGACAGTAAAGACTCAGTCATAGAAATACACAAGAGGCCTTAGTAAATGTAGATTCAAGTTTGTTTAAATCATACCATCTCCCCAGGCTCTGTAAGGATTGGTTTGATCCACTTTTTTGGTTTGGGTTTACACTTTTTATAGGTGAACTGATTTCTAGCTTTTTTTCTAGCCACAGTGTTCAGGTGAACGATGTGTCCCATGGGCCTTTTATATTTATATAAACGTCTTATTAACAGAATTGAAAATGCTACTGGCGAAAGCTTAAAATTGCTTTTATTTCATAAAATACTGTTTCAGATTCCAACAAAGTAATTACATTTTTTATAGATGATAGACAGACCACAGAAGTTGTCCACTAAACGTATTGACGCTTTCTTCATTATCCAGATATACAAAGGTTTATGAAGATACTAGTGCAGAAACTAGAAGAAAATATAAACTTGATTCGTTGCAAAATATTTGCTGCTTTTGGCTTCCATTTATATAATGAACATTTCTGATTCTTCTTTTTTTTTCATTTATTCTTTAATTTATCGGATTCCATGCAACAACTATTAATCATATGGAAACAGTTTATTCAATATGCAAGTACCTGCTCAACAAATAAACAATTTGTTACAAATATAAATCAAATAATTTAACGAATGAAGATTATCAACAGTCTAGTTTAAATTTAACATATCACGAAGTCTTTTATTTATTCAACAACATTATCGGTATATACTTTTCCGTAAGGTTTATATATTATATAAGTAGATTATTTTCGTAGTTTTCATTGGCTGGAAGTACGTCACGTGATATTCCTCCTTTTATGAGAACGACGCAAAAGCGTGTCGGCGGAAAATGATAACGCACGACACAGCGATCGGTTGCACTGAACTTACATATAACGTGACGTCATAGTATAAGAAGCGTGTTTTAACCATTGTGACGTCATGACAGCCAAGTCTGTTTAGTAAGGACTGTGTCAGTGCATTCACTTCGAGTGATTATATAATATAACTATAATGGACTTCAGTGAAGAGTCAATATGTGGTAATAAGGACTCATGGCAATGGATATTGACCTCAGACACAGAAAATGATAGCGACCTTGCAGACTTGGTCGCTATCACTTTCTGTGTCTGAGGTCAATATCAATTGCCATGAGTTCTTATAACCACATATCCACCTACACCGAAGTCCATAATTATATATTATTCACCAGAAAAAAAATTAACATTTATATTTCTCTAGTGAACGAAACATATGGAGATAAAACAGTATTCAAGATATTTCATAAGTCCAAACAATACACAATGGGAGCAGAGCCAAAAAACACGACCTCCTAACATAGGTGTAATGGTGTGCCATGTAGGAGTGGCCATTTCCAGCCGACTTACAACCGCTGTGTACCTCTTGTCCTGAACGGCAAATCACGGAAAAATCTGCCGTTAATTCAGTGTTTAAACAATGAACTAACAATAAATCAGTCAGTTTTTGACCTAATGATAAATTTTATTCGCAGACAAGGTCATTGTAACTTCTTTGTCAATAAATTATCCTCGTTTTAGGAATTATTATAGGAAGTACATGCTCTTGCGTATTGAATCAACTGACGTACATGAACTCAGTATGCAGATGATGAAGGTATACGAGGGGTTATCAAAAAGTTCGCAAACTATCTCTATATCTAGAAGACCACACTTAAGATTAGAATGAAATTCAGTACACACATAGCCATACACAAGTTCTATAAATAGCATATGCTGAATAAAGTTTTTTTCCTTGTTTGTGACGTCACAATGTGAAAATGACATAACTATTTAGGTCACTTGTGACGAAAAATGGTTGTCTAAGTCAAACTCGTTCAACAAACGACTGTACAATTTATTGTATATCTTAGAAATCCCTCTATAGTATCATATTAAAATTTTGTAGACAATTCATTGAGATAAATTAGATCCTAAAAATTCAATTAATGATTGGATTAATCGTTTTAGTGAAGGAAAGCTGATAGTTGAAAATGATTCTTGTCATCTTGCCCAGTGAAAGCAAGTTTGAAAAGATATGTATTTTTAATTAAGCAATTTGCAATCAAAGACCTCCAATTAGCACTTTGAAAAAAAGTTAAATATTTGATCAATGTTTTAAGTATATATTTAATACCTAAGATATCGTTTACTTTAGATTTTAAATATATTAGATATGATAAAAAGGATGCACCCATTCTTTTTCCACCTTGAATAAAGGTCTCTCCTGAGACAGAAGATATGTGTTTTAATTAATGATCGCCATGCTTATTTTTGGAAATGATATTATGATCCATCCATTCTGTAGCCGAGATATGACCATTTCTGATAAATGAAATGTTCTTGTCATAAAAATTAACTCACATGGAAAGAAATATAAAACTCAGAAAAATCTTTCAACTTTTGTGAAAGAACGCTACGGAGGGGGTCACAAAACCGCCAATATCATGTGATTCGCGCATGCACAGAACGGTGGTTGGTGTGTGATAAAATTGGAGAGGATTAATTTAAAATATTCTCAACATTGAAACCAAATATTGTTTCTTGTATGGGAATTAATCAGTTAGTTTGTGAACTTTTTGATCACTCCTCGTATTGCTGCATAAGTAAGGAAAGCAGACGATAGAGAATATCCAAATATGAAGCAGATGTGTCAGCCTTTGTTGTTTCTTTATTCAGAAGCTCATAAGGATATATTGTATCGGTATGGGAATGAAAGGGGGAGTTTCGATAAGGCCGTTTCTCGGCCCACTTATTTTCATAAAAATAAATTTCAATATAATTTTTCAAAATTTGTTTAGAATTTAAGATGAATATCTTAATTTTCTGTTATTAATATTTCAAAGTTAATATGAGATAAATTCACACCGTAGCCGACACAAACTTAGATGTACCCGCAAATGCGTTAACATTAGGCCTATGGGAAAATATAAGAGGGTGGCATTTATAAATCGATTTTTAGAATATGAAGTGCATGAGGGACACTCACCTAGTTTTGCCCAATTTTTAGATATACGTACCCTGCACACTAATAGTTTACAATATGATGAGTGTCGCGTGTGCACTTCATATCCAAAAATTGAAAATTGTCTAAAATTTGCATACCTAAAATTAGAACATTCTGGTTACTTGATCATACACCAGGTTAAAATACTTAGCCAAAATTAACATATTTTTTAAAATTCAAATTAAATGCTTGAAAATATTAACAATAGAATACATTTTCGGATACTATCTTTATTTTCATACTTATTTCGTTGCCAGCATGTAACGTTAACGTCATATTTTTAGTTCAACTACACTGAACAGGGGGAGTTTTCTTAATACAATCGGCATTGGCGTTCCCAGTTAAAAAAAAAATTTCAAGTAGATATTTTTTATATATCATCTTGTCCCTTGAACAGTAATTCCTTGTCATCTGTCGGGTTTCAGATGCTGTGTTTTAAGCTAATATGTGTCGAGGTCAAATTTTTTGAAAGTAAGTTAAAGTTTTTCTTAGCAATGCCACTATGAGTACTTGATGACCAGACATGCTTCATGATGCATCTTCTGCTGCCTAGTACTAGACTTGGTTCGGATGCTGGGTCTAACTTACATTTCATTGATGAATGCTCAGAGTAAAAGGTTGACAAAACATGCACCGATGATACATTTAGGATTGCACATTATCAGAAATGGTCCAGATGCCAGATCTTACTTCTATTTTCTGACTGATTTAACGAAAGAAGTGAAAACGAGTCCATTCCTTAACGTTCAGAATCAAACATATATCAGAAAAAATATCATATTAGCCTTTTTCGAATAGAAACCCTTGCTCCAATCTGCTAGAGGAGGTTCGTTATGTTTTTGCGTGTGGTTGATATTTAAGTTGGGAATGTAATTTTTTTAAAGACTAAATATTGATTTTCTATGTTTCTGTAGAATTTGAGATTTAACACATCTTTGGCATTTATAAATGTATTTTGAACTGCGATCTGGACAAGCACTTACTTATGTAACTAAAATTGGTGAAGCAAGAACCTAGTTTCAGTTGCTGAGAACATAATGTGCATTTTTAAGTTGTTTTAAAAAATACCTCTAATTTTCAGAATGAAATGGAGACACTCAATCTATTTAAGTTTTTTTTTTATCATCTGGCTATTTATTCGAGTAAGCATTGCATTACTTATTATAGTTATCTACCTGCAAGTATTAACTGATTTTTGTAATTAAATAAAAGTCATGTAAATTCCAATTTAACAAATTCCGCTAAAAAAAGCATTGAGTGAAACAAAATACAAATATGATCTATTACTTATCGAGGTTAACTCATTAACCAAAACTGAGCAAAATATATTTACAAGCATTTTGGGGGAAAAAAGCCCCACCCCCACCCCATCCCCCCACCCACCGGTTTGAGGTTAACTCATTTTCCAAAACTTAGAAAAATATTTATAAGCATTTCTGGAAAAAATAATTGACACCCCCCCCCCCAAGGTAAAAAAAATCAAAGTAATACTAAAAACAAGTTTATCAAATAAAAGTTTGCAAGTAAGCAATTATAGAGAAAAGTGCGGAAAACCAAATGGGACAGACTGACAGACAGAGGGACGGACAGCTAAACAGACGATACGGAAACTATACCTGTGGTCCCTCTGGTTTTACAGTTAGGGGACAAATAAATACTATCTTGATAAAATAAATTGATTTTTTACAATATTATTTATACATTAAAATACAATAAGCATTGCAATTGCAATTCTTTTGAATATTCTTTTAAAATAATATTAATGTGTACTTGCATTTCTTTAATCGTACGGAAATCCATTTTTTTTCAAAGCATGATTTAAATTACATTCAATAATATTACTGTATAATTTCACAATAAAATTTGCGCTATAACTTTAGTTGATGAAAATGTATTTCAAACAGTTCTAAATACCTGTAAATTACACTTAAAATTGATCTATCTCATGTCTATTTTTTTTTTACATTTGCTTCCCTACGTACGGGAAAAATGTTATGAATTGATTATTATTTTCAAATATAAGCTGTCAGTAAATTCCTCTTGTAAATGTTTCTGTCTATACTGTATATATATGTTTTATAAGTTAAATTGTCCCTCTTTTAAAGAAAAGTTACAATTAAAAGTCGAGAAGAATGTTGCAATTTAAAAAACATTCACATAAAATACATTTTATCAATTTTCTGTAAAATTTATATAGAAATGTGTTATTTGATGTCTTTATTCACATTTACCACATTTTACTTATGTTTTGACGTTGAAAAAACTTCAGTATCCCGTTTTAAATATGCCTTCTCCTAAAATGAAGGGAAGGGGGTATACTTAAACTTTAATTTATCACGTGACCAGAAAATGTGCAGTATAAATTATTTTCATATTTTTAGGAAGATAAGACATTTATCTACAACATATCACAATTTCATAACATTTCTCGAGGGGCCGCAAAACAGCCTTATCGAAACTCCCCCTTTAGAATTGTTGAAATCAACTAAAATTTTCATACTCTTTCCTACGGAAGCCCCTTGGTTCCACGTACAAAAAATATTTTATCTGGCAGCCTCCATTTATATATCTGGCGGCCGCCAGATAATTATGTGGTGGTCGCCACTTATTATTTGGCGGCCGCCAGATAAATATGTGGCGGCCGCCAGATGTTATACAGCGAACGCCAGATAAATTATGTGGCGGCCGCGATAAAATTTATGGTATAAAAATTTGGTATACTCTTTTAAAGTTTATATGACACTTTTAGCAGCATGGTAACATATTCTGAAATTTGTTTTCACCTGTTAACTTTTACTGAATGCGATTTGTCTATATTTGTTTTTCTTTTTTTTTCAATGAATTATTACTAATATTTTCCAAGACTTTCCACGATCTTCGGGGAAAATTTTCTCTAAGAACCACCCACTTTCTGAACTTGTGACATGATATTAAATCTTTTTCAAAGAAAAAAATATGTTTATATCATCTATCCTTAATAACAGTTGCAACAATGCAGTTAAAAATCTGATGAAAGTATGGTGCTATAAACTGTATACGTTTGCATAGATTATATTAGGACCATAAGTAGACTTAATGATAACATATATTATTTAATCAAATGTTGACTAATATTTTTCATACAAATTGTAAGGCAAGAATATATGCACTTAATAGATGCAAGGTTTACACAAAACGCATTGCAAAAAATGCTGCTCGGTTTATATGCATATTATATACGGTACTATTTTGATTTATCTGATGTGCAGTTTGACAAATTATCTGCCTTTAATGGTGCTCATGAAAAAAAAAACAGGAATATGAAAAATTTGAAATAAAAAAATTGAAGAGATGAAAAAAGGTCGGTCCCCTATGTTTGTCAATAAATGTGAAATACGTTTTTTGTCTAAAGAAGTTAAAGTAAGGCATTTCTCGAATATCCCAAATGCCTACATGCCTTGAGACTTCAATTTTAATGATATGGATATGCAAAGTAGATTTGACGTTCTTTTCTTATTTCCTGTAATATAAGAGTTTCAATTTGCTTTCGACTTTTAATTTGTAATCCTGTATACCCAATCATAAATAAATTCATAGAAAATTCCAAAAAAGTAAGGTTCGGTAGATTTGCTATATTTTCAAAATAACTACTTCATAATTATGATATTATCCAATAGTATTGTTACATCATATTTATGTACGTTAAATAACCATTCATTATTTGTTAATATATATCAGGATGATGCGTACACTATGGAAAATAACCTTTGCCCTTTATGCAAATTATCCCATGTCTCCAACTATGGTTAATCCCCCGGTATACTATTCCTTAAAAAATCGTATGTATCGGTGTAAATATTTAAAATAAAACAATTTCAGTCAGTAATACAAACACTACTTAACTAAGCAAAATCCACTGTTTTTTTTAATCAAACGTGACTCTGCCTTAATTCAAAGGGGTTAATATCAGCAATGGCATCTCTTGCATGTAGTTTCTGGAACATATCCTTCAAGGAATCCTCGATAGCCTCGTCTCTGTTTTCGGTTTCTGCATATCCTGTTTCTCCAGTTGTAAGATCCTTACAGGTTCCTGTGCATTTCCACTGAAACCAGTGCCCTGTGAAATGACCCTCGATAGACCAGGTGACAATCCTTCCTCCCCCGCGATCAAACTGTATTTCAAAAGCAATTATTACCTACGCGTATAAATACCAGATTTAAACTCTATATTTTTAGAATTATTTGCATTTAAAAGACCTACATATTAATGTTTATACTCCATTTTTACAATAAAGCGGAGAAACAAGTACTAGTGCTTCTTTCTTTGACGAAGGATGATCCCTCTACCAATTGAAACGCGGTGAGTCTAAGTACGTATAGAATAAATACACTGTATTTGGAGATATAAATTACGTTTATTTTTCGAGTATAACAATATAAACAACTACCATAAGCATTGGAAATTTCGTTTGAACATATTCATTTCATTTTTCATTTATTAAAATCACGCACAATCAAATCATATAAATGTATTTCCAGTATGTAAATCAAATCTAAAATTACACTGTTGCGAAATAAATCGTAAGAAAATTCATTTTAGTTTTAATTTATTATGTCTTGAAATGCCATAATAAAAAATGCAATGCTCAAACCTAGCAGAAGTAAAACAAATTGTCATCGAATCCTTACTTTTAATTCATACGAAAAGAAAAGATTAAAAATTAAAGATTAAAGTCTTTGATTTTTAAATAAATCCTTTGAGAAATGTGTACATGTAAATTTTATCGAATTGATGCTCAATCATACTTCTATTCTGTTATCGAGAGAATAAATGAAAACCCTAAAACATTAAATCATATAGTGTTACAAACCTTTCCCGTAGTTGATTTTTCTGCCAAATTCTGAACTAAGTTGATTAATCTAGCAATGTCTGCCATTCTGTGATGACGCCTTTTGCTCATGAATTGAGTGTCTTCTTAGGGATGACTTACTTTCTCTTCCAGAAGTTAGAGAATGAAGCTGCTTATTAGGCGATTTTTGATTATGTGAATTTTTTTATATTAAACTCAATCAGATTTGAATTTGTACCAAAGGGACGTACTGATTTAGCAAATCAAAAAGTTAAATCTACATTTAAAGTATGATTACATACTTCCTTGTTGAGAATTGAGAATCAATTGTCTTTATATACTAAGATTGCCAAGAGGATGACGTTATTTGCATGTAAGTAATATCTATTTATATGCAGGTAATTTTAGAACCCATTCAAGTAAATTAGTATTGCTTTGGCGTTATACCAACTCTCAATTAAGAATTTTATGTTTGAATTATAAAACAACGGTTCTTAGATTTACAAAGAGAAAGCTGTTATTCGAGTTTTTGTTATCTCAGCTTTTTATTAATTAATAAAACTTATCGCTTTATGTGTATTCTCGTACTTGTATATGTATAGTGATATTAAAATTGAATACCAAAGAATTGCATGAAACATAATTACGGAAAAGATTTCAAAACTAAAGAAAGCAGGAGCAGAGAAAACAGGAAACTCCTAAACATCCGATCTTGGATCAAGTACCACGGAGGAGTGCGAATACCTTGCTGAGTGGTCTGCGTGTGCTCTTTGTCATGATCCGGATATAACATAAAAAAATCTGTCGTAAATTTAGTGTAAATGTATAAATAATGGACTAACAAATAGTATGAACAATGCTAGTCAGCATTTGACTCAATGATTAATTGCATTTTCGGACAAGGCCATTGTATCAACCATAGAACTTACAAAATGATGTCCTTAAATAAAAACCGCTGATATTCTTGTTTTAACAACTTGTCAATAATTGGCATCGTTTTAGAACTTGGTCATACGTAGCGTATTGAATCAATTGAGATACATAAATTCCGTATGCAGGTTGTGAAAGTATATTGATGCATAAGTAAGGAAAGTTGGCGATAGTAAAAGCCATCGGGTTTATTTATAATGGAGCTTGGTTGTAACATGTACGTACATGTAGATTACCATTAATGTCTTTTTAGTTTTAAAACTTTTATGTCTTGGATCCTTTTTTCAACCATTTTTTACAAGACATACACATGTACCAGTCCATTGGACATTAAATCAAAAATTCATTATTTATATACAAATTATTTTGGAGAAAAATTCAAATAATCCAAATGTAACATGTCAAACACAACTCTCTCTCTCTCTCTCTCTGCACAATTTCCACATAATTTATGTTCCTTAGTACTCTTCCAAACGACTAAACAAAAAATAAAAAAAAAACATTTAGAAGTGAAATATTTCATTTAATAAAGTAAATATCGGAAAAGTAAAATACAGTCTAAAATCAATAATGATCATGTGATTGATTAGAGCTTTGTTGATTGCTTGAACACATATTTAGGTAAAGAAAAAGTGTAAAATTAGCTCAATAAAATAAAAAAAAATGTATAGCTGCTTAGTAGAAAACCATGTACGTTACAGCCACTGTTATATAATAACATTATTAAACAGGGACATTTAACATAAATGAAATTTATTCATTTGCAATAATAGCTAAATATAACGTTAATCTTGACAGATTTTCTTCAATCAAATAAATTATATTTCATGTACAATAACTTGTTATTATATACATATTGTTTAATATTGGTTTGCTATTCATAAAATTGCAATGATAAACAAATACTATAAATATTATACTTGCCAATGTATGTAATTTTATTATACAACATTTTTTAATATTACTGATTTTTCGTATCATTCTAGTGGTCCAGAGTCATTTTGGTTTTTCAAATGAGTATTACAATTGTTATAGTATACAATTATTTAATGCCTGAGCAGTCAATAGACCAGAATATTTTTCCCGAGGTGCAGGGAACAGCTCACTGTGTTCTATTTCCCGAGGCCAGCGGCCGAGGGCAATAGAACACACTGAGCTGTTCCCTGCACCGAGGGAAAAATTTTATGGTCTATTGACTGTTCAGGCATTAAATAATTGTTTTATTACCTAATTTTATTTTCCGTATTAAATGTTCAAAATTGTATATTCAGTACATAAGGTTCCCGTACTGTTAATTTTTACCTAGATACGGTGCATATGTAATATTAATTAAAGATTGATTGTATAGACTATTGTTAACATTCCTTTGGAAAATTTTTCACTCTTATGGAGACACCACCACTTCCCGGTGGATAGGGGCCTTTTTCGTGCCAGCAGAGCACCTACTGCTACATGGGACCACATTCCACAGTGTATTAATTAAAAGTAACTCTCATTAAAAAAATATCCGACCATTGAAAACACACAATTTTTAAAACCAATGAAGAAACATCGAATAAGATATTAATTGTTTACCATGTCTGTGCAGTGTTACAAACAACTATATTCTAAACCCGGGTCGTTTTTGACGAAATACGTCACTGGTCAATAGAACGCGCAGTCTATTGACCGGTCAATAGAACGCCTATTCTATTGACCGGTCAATAGAACGCGCATTCTATTGACCGGTCAATAGATCGGTTTGAAAAGATAAGGAAAACTGAAAACACATCCAAAGTAGATGAAAATATTAAATCTCTAATAAAACTGCAAAAATCACTTGATTAGGTAATAATAATGAATATTCAAAGCCACTTGAAATTTTATACTTTTTTCTATAAAAAAAAACGATAATCTCCAAGCTGAAATTTACAAGACAGTGTAACACGCCTTTTGGTTGCGCTGTCCTCGAAAGACTGATCCTAAAATTATGGTTGCATGGAATTTATTTTAGGGAAATTCAGACAAAATTTCAAGCTGTTACGACCGACCTACAAATATTGAAAATGACAGCCATGTGTACCCTGTGAATTTTTCGTTAAGAGGTTATATTTGAAAAGGGGGAGGGGGCAAGTAAAGTGGCTGTTTTAAATATCAATGCATAAAAGTGATAAAAGAAGGTTCTCTGCTCAATAAAGAATACAGAGTTAAAATTCCTAATAATATGATACTGATATCGTATTATGTATTTTTTTTTACATTCAATACTTGGAAACGTATGGATGATTGTAAAATATTTCAAAGTAAACCCTTTGCAGCTAGTTTGTTGAACAAGTCTTTCATGGAATGCTCAATAGCCCCATTCCTGCTTTTTGTCACAGAGTGACCGGTGGTCCCGGTACTTTGATCCAGACTCAGCCCTATGTATCGCCAATGAATTCCCCTCAACTGACCCTTAAAACTCCAGGAAACCATTTTTCCACCACCACGATCAATCTATATAGGCAACAAAATATACATATTTTGTTAATTATGGTTGTATTTGCCTGCCATAACTTGACGGAAGATTAGTTATATCGAATTAATTGTCAGATGATTATGTTGACTTGTCATAAACAGTGTATTTATGTAATCATATGAGATCATGTTATAACTCTATGTCAACTTGTCGATCATAATTACAAGGACTAAGAATTCGGTGTCTTGCAATGAAAGTTTGAGAATGCCACTCAATGACACTTACTGACATTTACCTATTATCATAATATAATATATATATATATATAAACATGCATGTACGTTTCAAACAAGTAAAGATATTTTCCTGATTATATAATGCCACTGTTTAGTCTAAAGTTTTCATGAAACCTTTTTTTATGATAAAAAATGTTCACCTGTCCTTCACCAGATGTCCCCAGTACTTCAGCCATGCCAGTAGCAACAGATATTAGGCTGCTTAATTTGTCC